AGTCTAACTTTTTTTTTTTTTAATTTTTTTTTTAAGATTTTACTTATTTATTTGCCAGAGAGAGAGAGAGAGAGAGAGCGCGTGAGCACAGGCAGGCTGAGTGGCAGCAGAGGCGGAGGGAGAAGCAGGCTCCCCGCAGAGCAAGGAGCCCGATGTGGGACTCGATCCCAGGACGTTGGGATCATGACCTGAGCCGAAGGCAGCTGCTTAACCAACTGAGCCACCCAGGCCTCCCGAAGTCTAACTTTTTACGCTTTCTTCTGTTACTTGTTTTTGTTGCTTTTACTTTTTTATTTTTTTAAATTATAATATATGATTTGTTTCAGGGGTCCTGGTCTGTGATCCCCCAGTCTCATATAACACCAGAGCTCACTATGCACATGTCCTCCCCAATGTCCATCACCCTGGTGTTACTTGTACTTTTCATGTCCATTCAGGAAACCATTGCCTACTTCAAGGTCCTGGAGATTATCCTTGTTTTCCACAGAGAATTTTTTTTTTTTTTTTAATTTATTTATTTGACAGACAGAGATCACAAGTAGGCAGAGAGGCAGGCAGAGAGAGAGGAGGAAGCAGGCTCCCTGCCGAGCAGAGAGCCCGATGTGGGGCTCGATCCCAGGACCCTAGGATCATGACCCGAGCCGAAGGTAGAGGCTTAACCACTGAGCCACCCAGGCGCCCCAAGAATTTTTTTTTTTTAAAGTAGGCTCCATGCCTAGTGCGGAGCTCAATGCAGAGTTTGAACTCACCACCCTGAGATCCAGACTTGAGCTGAGATCAAGGGTCAGAGGCTTAACTGACTGAGCTACAAGTTCAGTCATGATCTCAGGGTCGTGAGGTCGAGCCCCACTTTGGGCTCTGTGCTAGGTGTGGAGTCTGCTTCGGATTCTGTCTCTCCCTCTGCTCCTCCCCCAAAGCCTTGACTTGGTGGTGGGGGGCAGGGGTGGGCTGCTGAGGTCAGGGCCATCCATCTGGCCTTGCTGGAAAGAGTCTGTGATTCTCAGCATTCTTTAAGAAGGAAAGGAAGCTCAGTTTAAAGAATAAAGACTGGCACTATTCAGTGTCTAATTATTTGCAAACTTTGAATGAAACATACCTTGGTACATTTTCCTAGGCAAGAAAAAATCGTCAAGGTAAAAATTTGTTGACTAGTCAGGAGCTACTTGTATAATAAGAAATAGTGGTCTCAATCCCCCCCCCCCTCATTTTGGTCTCTTATTTCCCTCCCTTACACATGTTATGATTTTATTTTGTATTCTAAGTGGTAGGAGTGGCTTGGCTGTGTTTCCCGCATGTGATTCGTGGGGCTGGAGCTGCGGGGTGGACCCAAGGTCCTTCCTTACCAGGTGAGGCTGTCCTGACGGCAGCAGCTGCACAGGCTTGGGGGCTTAGAGTTTATTACGGAACATTTATCAGCTATTGTTTTCTTTCCTTTTTTTCCCCTTCGTATCGAACGTCTAGTTAACATTTAGTTAACGTACAGTGCAATATTGGTTTCAGGAGTAGAATTCAGTGATGATCACTTATCTACGACACCCAGTGCTCATCACCAGGGCCCTATTCAGCCCCCACGCCCCGTCCCTCCACCCGCCTCCCCTTCAGATGCCCTCTGTCCGTTCTCTGTCAGTGAGACTCTTAGGGCCGGCTGCGGGGGGCTCGGTCAGTCAGCATCTGCCTTCAGCTCAGGTCAGGATCCCAGGGTCCTGGGATCGAGCCCCGCCTCAGACTCCCTGCTCAGCGGGGCGCCTGCTGCTCCCCCTGCTTGTGTGCGCTCTCTCTCTCTGTCAAATAAATAAAATCTAAAAAAAAAAAAAAAAAGTCTGTTATGGCTTGTTTCCCTCTCTCTTTCTTTTTTTCCTTTCTGCTGTGTTCATCTGTTTTCTTAAATTCCATGTATGAGTGCTTTATCAACTGTTTAGAAGACTGTGTTTCATATTGAATTGAACATACTAACTTGTGCATGTAATCACAGGGCCTAGGCGAGTTTTTCTTGGCACGTTTTTCCAGCTGTCTGCGTGGCCACATGTTTGCTCCTTGGGAGGCCGTTCCGTATTCTGTGATTACACTGTTGTGCTGTGGTCAGTACCTATCGGTGCCTAAGACTGTTTTGCACGTTTCCTGTTTTCCTGACAGCCTCTTTGCACATAGTTTTCTGTGTGGAATTACCTGGTGGAAGGAAGGTAGATATTCTAGTCTGTTCTTTAGAAATCTCTGTTGGTTCACAGCCAGTTAGGCATGAATACAGATTGCCCTGGTCTTCTGCAGTGTATCGTCTTCATCAGTGTTCTTTTTTTTTTTTTTTTTTTTTTTTTTTTTATTTATTTATTTGACAGAGAGATCACAAGCAGGCAGAGAGGCAGGCAGAGAGAGAGGAGGAAGCAGGCTCCCCTAGACAGCAGAGAGCCCGATGCGGGGCTCGATCCCAGGACTCTGAGATCATGACCTGAGCTGAAGGCAGCGGCTTAACCCACTGAGCCACCCAGGCGCCCCTTCATCAGTGTTCTTGTGCAGATTTTAAGGCGGCTGTCTCCAGTAAAGCTTCTTTCTTTACATGGAAGATTGTACTTAATTTGAAATGATTTTTTTTTAAGATTTTATTTATTTATTTGACAGACAGAGATCACAGGTAGGCAGAGAGGCAGGCAGAGAGAGAGGGGAAAGCAGGCTCCCCGCCGAGCAGAGAGCCCGATGCGGGGCTCGATCCCAGGACTCTGGGATCATGACCTGAACCGAAGGCAGAGGCTTAACCCACTGAGCCACCCAGGCGCCCCTGTATTTTAGTTTGAAACCGGCTCCGTCAGAAAGCCATTCCTTCCTTGTTCTGGGCAAACTGCGCGTCTCAGCAGGTACATCAGTTCGCGAGCCCGGGGCGTGTTCCGGGTCAGAAGACATGAAGGTCAGTGAAGTTCTCTCCCCTTTCCAGAGAACTTGCCTTTAGCTTGTTGTGTGTGAACTTTCCTAGTTTCCTTAGGCTGGCTCTGCTGAAAGCCACAGTCACCGTAAAGCCCCATAATGAAGCTGGAGTCCGGGGCACCTGCTTTGCCTTTCTAGGGACTGTGGAAATTACTCTTGTGATCATGTTCTTCTAGTACCAAACATTCTGCCATGTAATTAAGTAGTATTCATCAAGTGGATGGAGTGTGGTTTGTTGTTTTTTAAGCCCTATTCTCCTGTTAGTGAACGCTTGTAATTGTGCACGTCCCTCTCACTTTGCAGTGTGTGTGATTTGGGGCGTGGGCTGGTGGGTGCCGAAGCTCCAGAGCTGGGATTGCAGATGCAAGGGGGTGAACTTGGAGTGGCAGCTTGGACTCTGTGCTCAGGGACATGGTCTTCCTTCCATAGGAGGGAGCCCTCTCCTCTCAGATAGCAGGTCCACCTTCCTCAGAAAACAGACCTACCGACAGTTCCATGCCCATGCTGCAATCTGTCCTCTGTCCTTGTCCTCAGAGTGTTTTCCGTGCCATCCCTCTGACAGAGGACGTTGTTCCGAATCCTGTGCATGCCCGATTACAGCTCTGTAGACCTACCGTTTCCCAGGAGTGTCACTGAGAAAGCGCGTGGGCCAAAAGGAAAGATCCTTGTGGGTGGAATTATAGTCGTTTCTGCTTGTGTTTTTTTATTTTCTGTAACGTGCTTTTATCATCTTTGTGATGAAAGAAAGGGGGGTGGGCTAAGTTGAGATGCATAAATTGGTGAGCCAGGCCATGGGTGTGGGGTGGGAAGACCTTTGTAATGAACACCATGAGGAGCGTCCCTGGTGGCTCAAGTGCTAGCTGGGTGCGGAGGAGGCGGAGGGGACAGGAAGGAGCCCAGGCCTGAGCCGTGAGGGGAGTGGGCGCTGGGAGCGCTTCCCTCACCTGCGGGAGCTGCTCCCGAGGCCTCTCCAGGGGCAGGGGTGGGGTGTCCTGTGCAGATGTCTAACTGGAAGAAAAAGGGAGTTACTCGTCATGAAAGGGATCCTCACCTTTCGGTAGTTTGACTTGTGACAACTTTTGTTCCTATCCTGGAAAAGGCTGTTGTCCGACCATCGACCGGATCGTCAGTCCCTGTAGCTTGTCAGTGGGGGCTGCTTGCGACCTCCGCCTCGTACGTGCAGCCAACACATTGGCACAGTCTAACTTCAAGAGCCGATGTCCTGCTCTCTCAGATGTTGGAGCACATGTGTAGAAATGAATGGTATTTGATTCAGGTCGGCCTCTAAGGCGGGGTTGCTTGCTACAGTAGCCGCTAGCGGCTGGTGAAATTTAAACAAAGGGGAACTTCAGCTCCTCAGTCGCACTGATAACCACGTCTCAGGGCTCAGTGGTCACCTCCAGCTCGCAGCTGCCCTGTCAGGGAGATAAAGTGCATCTCTGCCACCAGAGAAAGTTCTGACGGCGCTGTTCTAGAGGGAGAGACTTCCTTCTCTCTGCATGGTCACATGCAGAAGTCATGCTCCAAGGGGTTTATATAGTGTGTATCTTCAAGCTTTTTCTAAGCCTGTTTACAGACTGCAAGAGATCCCACATTGGTGGGACAGTAGCACCTTTGTCGTTCTTTGCTAAGGAAAACATTCTGAGTGGGAGCGCCCCTTGCTGGCTCCAGAGGAGCCACGCGACTCTCAAGGATCTCGGGGTCGTGAGTTTGAGCCCCACATTGGGTGTAGAGTTGACTAAAAATATATACATACATATACTCAAAAAAAAAAAAAAAAAAAAAGAGAAAATATTCCGGGTGAACTCGACACCTCTGCTCATTTAAAAAAACCTGGAACTGATTCAAGTGGACTGTTCCCTGTTTGATGAACCCCTTATTTGCATTTGCCAAGCTTACTTGAAATATGACACAGCCTTGTAGACCTTGAAGGACGACCATCTTGGGGGGGAAGCTGGTTTGTTCGTTGTGGCTTAGTGGCTCAGTGTCGGGCAGGTAGGTGTGTGCTTCCTCACACGCCCGGCCGGACCACCCGTGGGAAGTGCACATCTGGAGCTTTCTTGACCCTGCCTGTTTCTTCCCTGTAGGAGAGCTGCGGCACATCACCAAGCTGAAGCCCTGGAGCCTCTTTGACGTCCTTGTGGAAAAGTACGGTTGGCCCCACGAAGATGCTGCACAGTTTACAGATTTCCTGATTCCCATGTTAGAAATGGTTCCAGAAAAACGAGCCTCAGCTGGCGAATGCCTTCGGCATCCTTGGTTGAATTCTTAGCAGATTCTACAAATAGAGCATTCTGAGCTAGCAAATGTTTTCCAGTGCATTGGACCTAAACGGTGACTCTCATTCTTTAACAGGATTACAAGTGAGCTGGCTTCATCCTCAGACCTTTATTTTGCTTTGAGGTACTGTTGTTTGACATTTTGCTTTTTGTGCACTGTGATCCTGGGGAAGGGTAGTCTTTTGTCTTCAGCTTAGTAGTTTACTGACCCACTCTCTTCTGGAAACAATAACATGTCTCGAAGCATTGTTTGTGTCGTGTGACATTCAAATGTCAGTTTTTTTGAACGAAAAATACTTTCCCCCTTGTGTTTTGGCAGGTTTTGTAACTATTTATGAAGAAATATTTTAGCGGAGTACTATATAATTTACAATCTTAAGAAATTATCAAGTTGGAACCAAGAAATAGCAAGGAAATGTACAATTTTATCTTCCGCAAAGGGACATCATTCCTGTACTATAGTGTATGTAAATGCACCTGTAAATGTTAATCTCCATTAAATATGGGATGGGGACTCAAATTTCAGAAAAGCTACCAAGTCTTGAGTGCTTTGTAGCCTGAGTTGCATGTAGCAGACTTGAACTGCTCCCAGGAGTGGGGCAGACTTTTCATTCCATAACAGTCCTTTTACATTGGATTTTAAAGAAAGTGGCTCTGAGTTATGTCATTCCCTATATGGCACTTTAAAGCAAGACATGCTTTCATTCTAAAATACGTATTATAGTTTTAGCACTCCCATTCATATTTTTGCATATTTTTTAAAAGTACTTTAAAGGAAAAAGAGCAATTTCCCTTTAAAAATGTGATAGCCCGGTACCATGTGGTGTTGCCTCCTCCAAACACTGTAAGTTAAACTCTACGTAGATTAAATTGGACGACAAAACCATGTGCAGTGTGTGGAATGAGAAAAAACAAAATATATATGTATATATATATATATTTTTTTTTTGGAGAAGTTTGCTTGTGTTTGTCCAAAACCCAGGTATGGTATGCACAGTTAGCAGTGCAGCGGGCACTAGCCTGGCATCTGCGAGGTCGCGGGGATCGCGCTCATTCCGTAGGCGGTTAGCTGTGCGGCTACAACGACATCACTAGCTTTTTCATTGTCTTCCCATGCACTGAGGTTGAGAAAACGATTTTCCCTTTGCAGGTTGCACACGATTTTTGTTGATGCATTTCCTTAATGTTGTAGAATCCAGGACACAAACCATAGTAGGCAATACAATTTTAGAATGTAATATATGGAGGTGTATTTAGCCTCTTTTAGAAGTCAGTGGATTGAATGTCAGGTTTTTTAAAAATTTTACATTCAGTAAGGTGCCTCGTTTTTCTTGACTTTGTCCATTAACATTTATCCATATGCCTTTGCAATAACTAGATTGTGAAAAGATAACAAGTGTTGTAATAATAATCCATTGTTTGAGGTGCTTGCGGTTGTCTTAAAAATTAAAGTGTTTTGGTTTTTTTTTTTCCAGACATTGCCTTGGTCATTGGCCTATATTTGAAGCGATAGAATCAACAAACATTTGCTCTCCTTTTAGTGTAGCGTAACCCCAACTAAAGAAGTACCCACGTTCCCATTGCAGGGAAGGTAGCTGTAGAACATGCTTAAGCCTTATTACAGGAAATCATTGTTTTTTAAGAGTAGAATATGGACCTAAAAGAATTGCTGTAGGACAGATGCACTACCTAGGATTTTAGTGACTCTTTTTCATTCACGTTCCATCAGAAACCTACTAACTGCATTGTGTTTGAGCACTGCAAATTTTTTTAACTGTATTCACCTTGAGGGAACAGACGATAGAGCGTAACCACTTTCGTAGGCATCACGCATGCTGTGTTCTGACAAGGCTGGAGGTTATCCCGCCGGTTCTGCAACAGATGGTTGCTGCAGTTTCCGTAGGAGCCGTTCTCACGAGAACCACAAAGCACGTCTTCCCTAACTCTGAAAAATCTGTGTCAGGGTTTGTAGCACACTTGAATGAACTTGATCTAATGCAGTTTTGGCTCATGTTAGAAAATAAACTCAATTGTTAGGAATTTGGAAAGATCTGTCCCTTACACAATGTAAAAAAGTTCTAGAAGGAATGTACATTTGTATTAGGTATAGTCTGGTTTGTAGCAGAAGCTCGGTGGCTTGATGAGAGAGAATACTGCGCCAAAGGAGCGGCGCTGGTGCGTGGCTCACTGAGGCCAGCTCAGTGGTTTCAGTGAATGTCCTGGCTTTTCCTCTCATTAGTCCGTGCCAAGTCTTCCTGGAAAAGGACAAGCAGTGGATCGTGAATGTGGCAGATGAGAAGCTGGCTGTCTGGAAATTAGAACCGCTCAAAGGCCAAAAAAAGCAAGTTTAGAGGCTTCAGGAAAGCAAACTTTTCAGGTGAAAATTGATTTACTCACTTGCCTCTTCTTGTACCTGAATCATTCCTAGTTAGTTAAACATGATAAACTGTTTTTCTCCTTGGGTAGAGAACTTCAGTTTCAATTAACAGTTGAGATTATTCCTTAAATTCCACTTTTTCTTCCATTATTGTTTTTATAACTTGAATGAAATTCTGGTAGAGACGATATTTGAGAGTGTATGTGCCCTTCATCAAGGAGTCAAAGAATAAAAGAGATTCTGCAGTTCATAGAAAAGCTTCTCTATCATTATTTCTGTCGTAGGCAGATTTATCACAGGAGTTTTAAATCCTTAGAACAGTCCTTTGAAAGAGGTGAAGGCTACCGCTCACTGTGCTGATAGTTAATTAACCACCTTTGTTCTGTGAAACCTCGGGCTGGGTGACGTGAAGCCGTGATTTCTTGGACAAGTGTTTCTTTAGCGAATACCGTAAGTAGAGTGTTGTTTGCCAAGTCAAGAAGGGTGAAGTTGACCCAAATTCTTTTAAAACTTGAAGCTGATTAGAACTGAGCCCTAAACACAGCTTTCTTCCTGTACCATGATTAGCTGGTTCTTAAAAGGAAATGGACATTAAAAGTTACTGTAAAACATCTTTTATTACTGCCAAATCTTACCCAGTGATGTTTATGTCTGTTGAGGTTTATCTCCAAACCACAGAATGCTGTGCCAAATTATGTCAGGTGAAAATTGGAAAAATGTGTCATTACTTATGGTTCTACCTAATCAATCCTCCGAAGAGGTAGAAAACAAAGAGTTTTTTCAAAACAAAAACTAGCATTGGGTATTTCAGCAAAGTGTCCGTCTGAGAGGCTGTTTTCATTTCACTTGAGAACTCCTAAGAATGATGCCGTTTTCCTTTATACACCTGAAACAAATTTTTAAGACCTCCTATTACTACTTTCTTTTTAATACTATAGCTAGATGGTAAATGTTAATTTAAAAGGTTTTCAAATAATTTTGATTCATCAGTAGGACATTGCTGTCACGCATGTTCTACAATGTACAAACGAGATACTTGTGTTGTCAGGCAAAACTACGCCATGTTTTTGAACAGCTGTCAGTTCCACTCTAGAACTCGATCACGTGTAATACTTAACGATATGGACTCATTTTGTATGACGTCAGCTAGAGGTAGCGCCTCCACCCAGCTTAGAAGTTTCCTGCAGAAATGACAGGAAGGAGCGTTAAAGGAACAGCCCAACTGCTTACTGCCTCCTGATGTCTGCTACAGTCCAGCTGAGGTAGGTGTAGCTGAAGAAAACGGAAGGCTAACCCCTGACAAACTAGATCTGATGAAAGGGAACTTCTCGTTAAAAAAAAAAACACCACACTGGCTTAAACAGACTCCAATTTCAGAAGTTGTACAGGACAATTTGGTAAAACTGACATAATTGTGATTTATTAACATGAATTAAAATGCCCAACCAGTGCTTCAATGTGACAGTATATTTAAAATAAAAAAGAAATTAAAGGCCATATACTGTACTACTTTCACAAAGATCACACAGTTTTGCAAAGACTTGTCATATGTACAATGCTATATATCAAATGAGAAAAGCTGTAAGCAATTATATACGCAAAAGAAATGCAGTATTTACAGTTTGTCAGGAGACGTTAAAAATCATCTATACATTAAATTACATTCTGCTTGCAAATAACCGATAAAACAAAATGAGCCATGTCCACACCAAACTATAAAGATCTGTATTGCATTTTTTTTTTTTATACCTAAGATGCACTCACAGAACTGCTGACAGGAAAAAAAATCCTCATAGTGCCATTACTTAGCTGTGTACTTAAATGCGTATGTATAAAATAATATAGAAAACATTCACTAAATGAATTTTAACTGCAACAATAAAATTTAAAGATCATGTAGCATCAAATCTACTGCCAGAAAAACAGCTGGAATGTTCACTTACAAAATAAAGATACCTAATACTGGCTTTTAACAGCACATTTTTTAAGGAATTTTAAAAAGCAAAAATGGGAAAAATACAGTGAAAGAGCACTGGTGTTTGTTTTTTTTTATACAAAGTTTCATGTACAAGCTTTAAAAAGTACCTTAATAGGTACATATGAAATATACAGTTTATCTTACAGAACATTTTAAAAAATGTTTTTGGAGTCCATTTTAATGCCACCCCGAACCATGGTAATTGTTCTGAAATGTTGGTGGCACCTGTGCTCTGTGAATTGGAATCTGTCCAGGCACTGGAGATGCCTGCTGAGGTCCTTGAACCCCATGTGGCAGGGCCACAGAGCCAGGGTGAGGACAGAACCCTGAAGCAGTAGGTGTTGGAATACTGTTTGGTCCTTGGGGCTGGAGATGAGGACCTGCGACTGGTAATGGACAATGTGGCCCTGTTCCAGAAGGCTGGTGTTGGGGTCCCGGTCCCAGAGTGGTGTGATGTGTGGCTTGGGAGGGATACGGTGGTACGGCTGGATGAGCACTTGCAGGGAAGAGTGGAGGTCCTTGAGGAGGTGGATGGTGTAAGGCTTGAGCAGAGGTGGTATGGTGCCCAGAAGCCAAGACACTGGAAGGTGGCGGCGGCGGCGGGGGTGGGGGGGGTGCCGAACTGACCACATGCTGGTGTTGTGCTGGTAGACCTTGGAGTCCCGTGGAAGGATGGGGTGGCGGGTGGTGATGAGGGGCAGGACCGGGAGGTGGCGGGGGTGGTGGCAAATGGTGTCCAGCAGTCTGAGAATGAATGTGGGACCCGGGGGTGACCGCGTGAACAGGCCCTACGACATGAGCGACAGAGTGTTGCTGATGGGAGCTGGGCTGCTGCACGAGGTGTGGCCCTGGGGCCGGGGGAGGGGGGGGCGGGGGGGGCACCCCAGCAGCAGCAGCAGTTTGATGGTGAAGAGGAGTGTTCGGAGAAGGCAAGAAATGCCCCGGAGTGACGTGGTGGCCTGGAGCCGGCTGCTGGCTGCCGCCGCCCGGAAGTGCTGGATTTGGTCCTGAAGCAAACACAGTCTGTTGGGAAAGACTACCTTTAAGCTGATTATAATTCTGAAAGTTGGCAGAGGGCTGCTGGTTCTGATAGTAAGACGAGGAAGAAGGGGGCGGTGGGGGCGGAGGGGGCGGTGCCGTGCTGCTCAGACTGGGGGCGGTGAACGGACTGTAGG